CTCTGTTTCTGTATCTTGAGACGAGCTTACGGGAATTTCTTCATTTATAAACTCTACAATATCTTCGTTCAAATCGTATTGATTGAATTATTATACAGTCAAGAACTTATTGTTCTTTGTTGATGTTTTATCTTGTTGATCTCTTGAGGCTGTGGTTTGTCTTACATTTTCTAAGGCTCTTATTCAGTTTTTTACTTCATCTTTTTGTAGTATAGAATGACATTCTTTGATTTATCTATCTGTTGTTACAATTTTTTCTTCTATCATATTAACTTTATTATAGTTGAACTTTATAACATCTGTAGATTATTTTTTGTAGATTTACATTTGATTACGATATAAAACTTATATCATAACATAACTTATTATGAAGTTTGTCCATGTGTGTGTTTCTGAAGTAATAACTGTGTTCATTTATTAATATTAAATTGCTTTTCCACGGACTACTTGCTCTAGTGCTAACATTTTTATGATTATTTTATTACTGTTCACCGTACAGTTATAAGTGATACTTGCAATTATGACACGTTTCCTTATAATTTCAATTTTATCGTTTTAATTCTAATTTAGATCAGTACAAGTCGCGTTTAAAGCCTTCCTTTATATCTATTCCCTTTACGTTTTTTTTCGTGTATAAAATTAGTGCTTCTCCTTTAAAAATACACTGCAGTTGATTGGTTGGTACAGTAAGAATTCCGACGATTCTTATCTTATATTTTTCCTAGTATCGCAACATACATATCGTAGGTGGTCACGGCATGCGAAAATACAATAATATCATCGTATTTTTCTTCGGGTTTATTAACCTTTGTGCCTTTTGTTAGTTCATTGAATTTCGCCATTTTAATTTCTCTAAGTGTACCCATGACTTCGTTATTTCTAGAATTCTGCGCTCATTTTTATCCAGCTTTTATATTATTGGTAGTAACGTGGTCATTGTTATTTTTGCTTTATAATCTTGGTATTATATTATGATCTTTTGATTCTTGTTGAGTGTGTGAAATGTCCTTCATAATAGTTGCTGTTTTGCATTGTTTTTATCATGGTCATATGTCACAATTAACAGAGTCTCTATAAACGTTACTAACGTTTTATCATGGGCTATAATGTAATATATAAATTACTTTAATAAAAGAAAAAGCTCTACATACACGGTCATCATTAGGTACAAGCCACCAATAATTACTGTTCTCAAGTCAAGTGAGAAAGGCTACATAAAATTTGCATTTATTTTGCATGTATTAGAATAGATAATGCTATGATCGTTGAGCGATATTATCGCTACACCATTTAAGGGATAAGAACTTGGAGTGGGATCTTCGATAATTGAAGATTCTACTTGTAAAATGGTAACGTTTTTATTCAATAAGCAGGTATTGGGTCCATCAGGCGGGCATTATCGATAAGTAGATTTGACGGCCCTTCGTGCTGAGGAAATAGAGCGCAAAATGAGATTTTTTCCGATACTGACGGATAAGCCTGTCGACCGGGTCGGCGCTCGAGGCGTGAAATCTTAGGTCACGAACACGACTATGGACAAATCTATGTGATTATTCAACATTTTACCCTCAACTTGCACGAGACGAACTATTCTATGAGAATTGTGATAAAAAAGTATCTTGTCTAGTGATACACGATCACATAACTACTGAATTGAGTAATTTACCAACATTATCTTCATCTCAAGGTTACTCGATTGACTCTTCGTGTGTAAACACAATATTAAAATGCCTTTCTTTAAAAGGGTGAATAGTTAATAAAGTGTTTTCTATTCCTTTTTTACGTTACTTACAAAATTGTGAGGTATGTTATCCGCAAATATTCCACTGTTTAACAGGAATTGTGATATATCAAACTTCGCCCTTTGATGCCAAAACTATTAAGGAACATTCATGAAATATCATAAAGTTATTTTAACAGAATTGAGTAAAGGAAAGGAGAGAAGAAAATTTTCTAAGAACCAAACGAAATGACCTTTAGAACTGTTCAATAACCTATTAGAACTAATAACTAAAGTATCAAATTATCCCTAAAGCGATAGAGAATAGCCTTGTCGAAATTGTGTATTTAGTTCGATAAGATATTGGAATTTTAAATAGTAGTTACTCCTCTTCGTTTTCAATTTATCGAGATATTAAAATTTCGCTAAATATTTTTTTCTTTTGCATAATAATTTGGATTCGCGTATTTCTCATTTGGATGACACAAAATGTCTTTGTTTTTCATTGTTTGTCCATCGATGTCCACTTGGGGTTTCCATTCTCATTTTTTACGATTATCGATACCGTTATAGCTTTATTGAAATGTTTAAACCTGACTTTCTTTTTAAATAAAACGTTGCCCCACACTTGAATTTTCTCCTGTATCGTGGTTGCGTTTATCCAGACCCGGAACAACAAGTTGGGGATCACACAAAGAGTTGTTCTGTGCGGGAATGGAACCTGCGACTCGTTGCACGGCAGCCAGCTGCCCAGCCACCGCATTAACAGTGCATCCGTACTACTAGTTTTAGAATTTTGGAGAAATTTTAAGAATGTAGACTTTAAAGAGATGCTAGGATCTGTACTTTTTTACGCCTAAGAAGTACGTTTACGTTTTTACGTAGATACAGAAAGTTTATGATAGAAATAGATTAAAGCCGGAACTAGCCAACGGGATAAACGCTTGTCGTTACAAATATCAAGAAAGTAATTGATTTAGTAGTTGTAGTAAGGAACCCAGACAGTTTTCTAATAAGTATCCATTCAATTCTAAGGAGTCTTATTTATTTGCTTTCACTAGCTTTACTAGTGGTTTATCAGGCATTTGCGATATACGAGCTGAAGGGTCCCGAGCCCTAAATATCTGGTTAATAGCAGTGAAATCGTCTGTCCTATGCTTAGCTGTGGAAGTACATTTGGGTTAAATGATTGGTGTACGCTGTGTATGGCAACTAATGTCTATATTTTAAGTGTGCAAGCATGTTTAGGTACTGTGAAGTTTATGTTCTTTTGATTGGTACTTATGAATGCATACATGACCAGACAATATTATAACACTTTATTTGTCTTTAACTGAAGCATAAAATTCTGATCATTCATAATTCGCGAATTAGAATGTATAATATCATAGGTAACGCTTAGATTTCGATGTATCACAAGACAACAGGGTTCTTCTGATTTTATCATCTTAACTTTTCATTGGTGTACATTTTTTATTTTGCTATTTAATTATGAAAGACTCGTAATACATATCTTTGCTTAAACTGGTTGGACTAGACACAAATGGTTTTCACAAATAATTCAATATCGAATTAGCATTAGTAGAAAGCTCCCACAAGTCTGAAGTCCGGTCACGACAACACTTTATTAATATAATTTAGTCAAACGTAATCGTGGACCGAGTCTACATTGAATTTTCACTTGTCATTCCTTTTTTAGACTGTCATAGTATAATATATATACCTAGGTTAACTACGACAAGCCTTATTTATATAACTTAAAGAAATCATTTTATTTAAACTTTATCAAGGTGGCGTTATTAATCTATCATTCCAACGTCGTTCGCGACCCAGGTACAAAATTAAACATTTTTGTCAATTAAACTATAAGTAAATCAACTTTAGAACAAATCTCGCCATTGTCTTGGATTTTCATAATTCCTATGCTTTTTTATAGAGTAGGGAAAATAATCCAATGGCTGATCCCGCCTTGGGTTAGGCGAGACTTAGACTCTTACTGACTAAAATCCACCCCGTTCCTACTTCTGCTCTTCGAGCCGGAGCCCCGGCAACCCATTAGGCCATCCGCGGCTCCGTATAATATCTATACTTAGCCGGCGGCTTGGGGATAAGTAACCGAAAATTAAGATTTCAGATGATGCTACTACCGTGCTAGTACCCATCACTAAGTCATCATCGCAGTTTTTGGACGTATTTGAAATCTTTCAGATTTCTGTTACATTTCCAATTTCAGTGATGTTAATATCGTATTCTAATCGCTATATCTATTTCTATTATTAATCACCTCAATAAATATTAATGACAAAGTCAAAAATTAATCGAAAACATCAATTCAGTGTTCATTCATGATTTGGAACGTAAAATATTCAGCTTAGTTGTTAGTCACGCAATGTAAATGTCATGAATACTTGATCGTGTTACAATAGACGATGTTTATTTTGATTCTAGTTCATGTAGATAATAGTTTAATCAAGAAACTAAACACTAAGTTAGAGCTTTAGAGGTTAGAATAGCCCTAATGTTTGGATAAGGCATTTTGTCAACGACTGGTAGGTAATTAGAATAGGGTAGATGTCTAATTTTTATTTTAATGTCCGTCTGGTAGATTACTTTAAAACATTACACATGTATTTTTATATTTTTATAGAAACGAATACTTTCGACGATATATTGATTTAAAATGTCGTGTGACGTCACTTCTATGTACATTTTATGCGTAGAAATGACGTTTTAGCTCCCACTCCCAAACTTTAATTCGTTATATCTAAGTATCATTTTATTATACAACAAAATAAAAAAATACGTGTTTAATATTTTTTCATTACCTAACTGACGGACTAATTGGAATTTTAATTTTCATGTCCCTGTCCCACCCTGTCATCATATATTGACAATTGAATGCCACAGGGCAATGATTAATGTAACTTCACATGTGATTGTTGCTCTTTGTGAGAAAATTTTCTACTTTCATGGTGTTGTTAGATTACTTCTGAAGTGATAACCCTTTGTAGCTATGGATGGGATCATGACATTTTGTTCGTTTTGCCACAGTCTGTGTGAAGAAGTAAATGTTTTTCTTGATAATCTTGTTAATCTATTGATAGACGCAACACACCTGCTACCGTACGTACATAAGACGTATTCCCGAATTAAGATTATATTACAAAAAATTACAGGTTCAGAAAATAGCACCAATGTTGCATTAGGGAACTTTAACACATATATTTTCGTTCTAAAGGACTAAGATAATAATTACTAATGTATTATTTCTTAATTACAGATAGAACCAAACACAGCATTTTTGCGAGCGGCGCGCGCCGGTCAGCTCGACACAGTCGTCGATCTCCTCGACTCCGGCGCCGTCAAAGACATAAACACATGCAATTCAGTAAGCAGACATAATTTTTTACTCCCTAATTTCTTCATTACTAGGGCGATGATGTTCAAGAGCAGATTATGGACATCATCAGGTAATTTTTGCAATACAAATCTCATTCAAGTTTTGATTCTTTTCTATGTTCGTAGGTTATTTCGACTTTTCCAATCTCAATTTTTGTGCTTTTTAGCCAATATTTCCGATTTCGGAACTTTCGTCTTAATTATCACCTTAATTATTAAACTGTAAAACACCGCGAGGACACCGGTGACCGCAACCTATTGTTCTTTAATTGTGTCTATAATGACGGTACTCAATAGTTTAATTATAACTGGGTCTTCTGGCTTGTTATGAATGGGGATTTTTCAGATTTTCATAGTGACCTTACTTTTCTATGTCGCAACTATAGGCTTTTTGGAGTCATTAGCTTAACACGGTCTCTTTTATACTATCTCCTAGGTGTCTAACATCGTCAACTGTAAATAATATAACATTTTCTAAATATAACATCGTTAACCGTTAAATGAGCAGTTGTACATGTTTATCTAGATATTCTAGATAATTATCCGCTACTGTCGCGTCTTGCTTTAATATATGTATTTATGGTTTATGATCGTAATCACACTAACTTGCTCTAATGGACATTAAGCGTTAATAAGAAACTTATCTTTCCCCGCAAGCCCGCAACTTATTCCAAACATCATTGGAACATTTATTTCTTTTGTTTTTTGAAGTGAATTGAACAGGACTGCAAATATTTTCTAAAATAAGTGTAGAAGAGCCATGCTTCGGCACGAATGACCCAGCTCCACCGGAGTTATACCACGGCCACCGACAACCGAAGTGAAACAACAGTTGCGTTGTTTCAACGTGTGAGTGAAGTGACCAGAAGCCCAATTCAATCTCCCCAATCCCCAACAATCATTAATCCTTAATAAATCCTATGGCTTATTCCATAAAAAAATTTTGAAGATCTCTAAATTTTAAAAAGGTTCTATAGGATAGATGATAGGCAATCCTTGTAAAATACTGATACTACTGACTTTCAACCGGTTTGGTCTAAGTGCCGACCCTAACCCACTTGAGAAAAGGCCAGGAGAAAGTTCAGCACTAATCGCTTTGATTGTCCGCTTCCTTCTCGTAAATTTTTTCCATAAACTCTTTAATTAATAGGTACCCCACAATTCTTTTGCATAAATAAAACGCGGTTTAAACTTAAATAAATTAAAATGGAAAACTAGTTATTGGCTGTATGTGATAAACCGCAGTTTCTTAGAGAAAGGAGGGTGAATAACAAAGTTAATTTATCCGGCCATTTCTTGACATATCGCGGATAATTTACATTACTGAGCGCAATTCAAGGTCTCTCGAGATTCTAAAACCGTGTTACCAGTTTAATCTCTTAGGAGTTGATTGTTGCAACGGTAACGACGCAAATTGAATGAAATGCGCACACGCATTTAACGCGGTACACTACCAACAATAGTTGCGTTCAGGGCTGGCGGAAGTTTCAAATAAATTAGCTTCGTTATGGAAAATTGATATTTGATTGGACTGTTTGTTGTATTGAAAATCATGGAGTACTTTTTAATAGATTTCTGTTATTTGATTGTGGGCCGTTACAAAAAATATTCATTACTGAACCGATTTTTTAGTAACTAGAGTATTGTCGGTAAAGCTAAGGATAAAGAATACAAATGATAAATATGCGCAAAACTCGTTAACTAATGTAACCTGATACAACCTAAACATGGAATAGAGATCACCCCTAACAAATACAACAATTTGCTCCTAAAATTCTGCCATAAAAGAAGTAAACTAACAATGACTCTCATTCGCCAACCCTGTTCTCTGCCCATGGCATCAGATACACGATGACATATTGAGGACATCCTGGCAGGTGGGGTAATCATCATCATAAAAATAGATAACAAACTATTTTGTTGCATCCATTCACAATCGCATTATATATTTCATGGTCGACATTACAGTGGTTTTACAAACGAGCCCACTTTTTGTTAAGGCCTTATGTAATAGGCCGAACAATATGTTATCTGTTGGCTGTTCATGGAAATTCCTTTGCGTTTGCAAAAATGGCGCGGAAAATAAATGCGATTGTTTATGTTTATTGTATGAATGTTTATAAATTGGTGTGAAATGTTAGTTACGGTCGTTTTGATTAATGGTGGCCATTATGGTATTGCCACGGGTGTAAATGGTGTATATATAACATTCTAGGAATAATACAGTAATGTAGCCCGTTTTAGGCGTTATTGTCGCAGTCAGACATATTTTACTCCAGAGATAGGCGCTTTAAAATAAATACACATACTTAAATATCCAGTTGGATTATTAAAAAGTAGGTCCTACCTTTTTGAGAAACTACATGTAATAAAGGTATCATTATTACTTTAATGTAGGTAAGTGCTTTAATATTTATTTTATAGTTATAGTTAATAGAGCGGTTTCGCTTTATTTATCGATGATATTAAGCGATAACGATCGAAGTTCTAGATTTTCATTCTCGGAATAGAAACTTCAATAACGAAATACACTTATTTCTAGTAAAAGCTCATTTTGATCGAGACAAAACTAACGAAACAGTAACTTTAAAAGCCGCAATATTTATTGAGAAACAGGTGAATAAACCTACTAACAGCTTACTTGAAACTTTACAGTTTAGGTAACTTTTATAGCAGTCTAGGTGCTGCCTGCGACTACGTCCGCATAGGCATAGAATATGATTCCTGTTTTATCGGGATAAAAAGCATCTTATCATCTAATTAAGTCAGCCCGTACCCAGTATGTATACCAATCTTCATCAAAATCCGTTCAGTAGTTTCAGCGTTATTAACGGAAAAACATCATAACAAAGAAACTTTCACATTTGTAATAGTAGTGTGATGATAGTTTTCAATAAAACAAATTCTACCTTATATTAGACTTAGGCTACGGACGAAATAGTAACCGTCTTCAGTCTAAAATCTCTAATTAGAACTTAGTTTTTGACAGAGATCCTTAAGAATTTAAAAAATAATTGTCAGAGATTTTTGATTCAAATCAATTACTGATTTCGATCGTAAAATAAGACACAAATTAACGCCATAAACGTGCATAGATAGGTATACACAACTGGGGAATACCAACTAAGTACAAAATATAAGAAAAAATATTTTATTACGCACAAAAAAATTTATAATAACGAAACTTATAAACAAAGTAAATGAACCGTATCGAGCATCGAACCTGTAATTAAAAATAATATTATCAATATTATCCATTGTCACCGAAACGGCCTTCGCTTGGTTCTGTTACGCTCCAATGAGAACTAAGGATCGCTTTACACTTGCGATTGCGATCGCCGACAAATAATCTCGTCAGAAAATTGAATGTAATCGATATGCTAAAATATTTTAATGGTTTTTTTTTCATAGTGTAATGATGGGAGGATCGTTGCTCTTGCTAATTATATGCGTCGTATGATTAGTCTCGAACTGAGATAGGGTTAACTACTTAAATTAAGATTTTTTGTTGATTTTTTTTTAAGCGGGGAAAATCATCGAATGCCTGCTCCCGCCTGGGTGAGGCGGGAGGGAGTGTCAGACTCTTAATGACACTCCCTCGTTGGTGTTTGTTGAATTTACGACGGTGATTTGTGCTGTGCTGGTGAAGTACCACAAGCCAAGAACACAAGAATTATGTTACAGGATTTTTACCAAAACTCTCTTGCTACCAATCGTTTTACGTAAATGTATAAAAATACTTACTTAATACAAAATTACAAATGAACAGTTTAAACACGGCTTTACTAATTTTATTTTAGAAACAACCTAGATGGATATCTGTATGTAGCTTATACATGTGGTGTCAGTCTAAATATGTACTTCAAACCTTAAAATAAACCAGAATTATTTCAAGAAGATTGGTTCAGTAGATAAAGTGTTAATAATTAAATAAGTAAACAAACTATACTACTATTTCTGTGTAATAACTATCATGAGACATGTCACATACAGAATTACTAGACAGTTTACTCATGTGAGCTAATCGAGAGAAATTCTACTTGTTTCGTGTCAAACCGATATTCGTATTCATGAGCAGCGTGTCCTGGTGTCTTAAACTGTCAAACACCGCGAGGACAACGGTGTCCGTTCACCTATTGTTCTTTAAACTGTCAACACCAAGCGGTCACCGGTGACCGCAACCTATTGTTCTTTAATTGTGTCTATAAATACGGTACTCGATGAGTTAATTGTGTCTATAATGACGGTACTCAAAGGGAGTAAACTAAGAGAGCTTTTCGAAGTGAGGAAAGTGTTTCTTTTTCAATTGATAATCTAACTTTAGCACTATAATAATAGTTGGACTTACACACCCTTTTGTTTACAATTAGCATTGGAAATACAAATAAACCACACAATTCAATGAATAAGTAGGTTGCGCTACTTTCTGAGTGTCCGGAAATTAGCCTGCTACAGTGCTACCTGCTAGCCGTCGCTGCTCATCACTCCATTAATTGGAATCGTCGGCTTTGTGCTAATAAGAAATAGGTGCCTTTGTAATGTTTAATGAATATAATTTTATTTATTGTGGGAAAGAAGGCAAAGATAAGGATTTTCTTTTCTTGTATAGAAGCACTATTTCTATGGATTGTCAGTATGCATATGTGAGCACCATGTTAGACTTAAGATCTTTATTATTTTTATTTTAGTAAGTTATTAGTATAATGCGTCAAGCGTGTCTTTGCATTGTTCTTACATATGCGTACAGTATTGAAATATGTATCAGAGACATTGTAGAACATACTTTTTTAAAAGAGTAACGAATGGAGTTTCTTGCTCGTTCTTCTCCATTCGAATCTACGTTTTGGAATGAGCACCTAGCATCACTGACGGACTGACTGACAGACTATTATTTATTTTGTATTTGTTGACGTTTCAAAAGTACCAAACTATGGTTTAATTGAAATAAATGCTTTGACTTTGACTTTGACTTATAATATGTTTCCTGGAATATTGATAAAATTGGGTATCCAATTATGTCTGCAAAGCGGGAAGCGGGAAATAGCACTTTGCATCCCCAAATTGCACTTGAATATCTAGTTGCTGGTGTCCATGGAAGGCGCTGCTTTTTTGGCATTAGGTTATCCATTTGCTCGGTTGCTCTTAACTCATTACAAACAAGAAACCTACAGTATCGATTAGCAAAATGTACAAAACATAAAACCAATTATAAATGGGTTTTCTAAAAATTTCTATAACAATGTGAAGTTATACGTTTTTCAAATCGAACGTCAAGTTTGTTAAACCAGAGCGATTTAATTTGCGTGCAAAACTTCGCTACGGGCAGTTCTATTGAGCGAATCGTGTGCAGTAATTCTGTATGCGGAACTGTCAGTCACCGTGTCATCCAATCATCTAGTCTGGATGCCTGATAATGCTTGACAGAAGGGGGACACGTTCAAGGTTTCAATTCCAGGTTGTTACATAAGTGGTTATAGTGGAGTGGTTCAGTTAGCGACAATGCAAATTTAAATTGAGTTTTCGCGCGGTGATGGCGCTGGTATCGCTTTTGATATCTTGCTCTCTTTTCTCTCTATGTCTTCGGGCGTGCTATGGTGATTCTGATTAGGCAAATGGGACTTACCCTTACCAACTGGGCAATTTAGATTTTAATTTTATGTATAGTTCAAATAACATTAGGTATTTGTTTTGTTAACTAGAATCAGCAGTCACAGGAAGGTTGATCAATGCTCAAGTATGCGTGTCATTTTCATTGAAATATAGTTAATGTATTAATTTTGATTTTATCATTTAGAATCATGCTCAATCACAACATCATCATGATCGTAATATTTTTCGCTCTAGTTAACTGTATTACGAAACGAAATGGTAATTTTACTGTACTACAAAAAAAAAATGGGTATGAAATGAATACACCTAGTTTTTAATCACACGATTTGTATGTTAGTACCCCTACATACATAACTTGTTGAATTTGTACTTACGCTAAAAGCGGCAATGGATGATGTGCAAATGTCAAAACGTATTGGCGGGAAACCATAACGTTTTGACATTAACTTTTTCTTTTTGAAACGAGTAGACAAATGTTTAAACTCATGTTATAAACAACCGGTATGGCTGTTTTAGGACGAATCCTTCTGAACCGCCTTTCACAATTTATCTGGCAGCAATCTCACTATAATTACCTATTGTTTTGTTGTGCTACTGAAGTACTCAGCATATATTAGCATTTATCGTTGTCTATTGTTTCTAGCAGACTGAAAACCTGTTTTTCATAATATCCTGTATAACTGAGAAATTGGGTAGCATGTATAAGTGGGCATTGGTGCTGTAGTTAATAACGGGAGTTATAGTTTTTGCTAAGACATTCTAGACTTGTGGCATACTTATTTGTTAATCCGTCGCCACCCCTCCTGTTCACGAGCATATTATAAGAGCCGACATCTGGACCTGGCTGTATTCAAGGCTCGATTGAATAGGTTGCTTATGGGATGACGTGTTCCATCATAGATCGTATCATCGCTTACCACCAGGCGAGATAGTTTTTTTATGGCATAAACCGGTAAACGTGCAGACGGATCACCTGATGGTAAGCAATCGGCGTCGCCCATGGACACCTGGAACAACAAAAGCGTTAAAAGTGCGTTACCGGCCTTTTGGGGTAATAGTTTGAGGATCGTTGGGGATTCAGGGATTGGGGAGATTGGGGAAGAGGAGGGTAATTGGGCCTCCGGTAACCTCACTCACACGACGAAACACAACACAAGCGTTGCTTCACGTCAGTTTTCTGTGAGGCCGTGGTATCACTCCGGAGCCGGCCCATTCGTGCCGAAGCATGGCTCTCCCACACTTTGATAGTCTTAGATAGTGGTCAAACGTCGACCCATCAAATATAAAAAAAGACTAAGGGATTACATATACGATAGAGACCGGGTAACAGTATTCTCTGGTAAAACTAAACCTTTTAAACTGCGATCTCCATCATGCATGACAAGCCCAGAGATAATGGCAAACCCTCTTATGTAGAGGAGATCCAAGCCCAGTAGTGTTACGGGCTAACATCAATATGTTGATTTATTATACCTAACTGTCAGTATGTCATACATTGTAAAGATCTATTGTGTATTCACCCGAAAGTTCCTTGTTCCTGCAACGATGTCGGGTATTGTCAAGTCAACAATGTTTTATGGGCTCTTAAACAAGTGCGTAAACCTAAGATTATGAAAGTCATGTCTCATTATTGCAGCTTCATGTAAAATTATATTCTCTTAAATATTATCAAATTTGCAAGTTAGATAAACGCCAGTTGTTGTGTTAGCTATAGGTACTAGATAACAAGTATTGTACACACGCAATAAATTCATTGAAGAAATTGGTTTATTTTGAGGCGTTGCACAGTTGGGGCTTCAGAACTAGAGTATATTTAGACGGCTCAATGTAAAAGCTGATAGTAATTAATTATTAAAACATGATTTTAGTGAGCTAAATAATGTTATAATCCCTGATCTTATTCTTTTGAAGGTTCTTCCCTATCATCAAAAGAAAGGGTGGCTTTGTAAATTTAATTTAATAAGTGTATTGTTTTCTTGTTCTCAGAACGGGCTGAATGCGCTTCACCTGGCCGCTAAAGATGGACACATCTCTGTGGTCGAGGAGTTACTAAAGCGAGGTGCAACAGTAGACGCGGCTACTAAAAAAGGTAAAGTTTCTTTTCAATAATTAAAGGCTAAAAATGAATCATATTAATAAGAAATCCGAAATGTAATAATCTAATCATATAAAACTTCGAATGGAGTGATATGATTTGAATTCTTAAAAATAATTATGGCTTGTTACGTATAACAACACCCAGAAGACGCCCTGGCAGAGATATTTTTGTTTCAAGACCTATTACATCATAAGATCCTCTCTTTTAAACTGTCAAACACCAAGCGGTCACCGGTGACCGCAACCTATTGTTCTATAATTGTGTCTACAAAACCGATACTCGACGAGTTAAATTGAGATACACTTCCCCGCACTGCTAACAAATTTATTTTTATATCACAAATACCTTTTCCTATTTCAGGAAACACAGCACTCCACATAGCATGTCTTGCGGGGCAAGAATCAGTAGCGCGGGCGCTACTGGCGGCTGGGGCCAAGGCCGACGCCCAATCAGCGGCCGGCTTCACCCCACTGTACATGGCGGCACAAGAGAACCATGCTGGATGCGTCAAAATGCTGCTGGCAGCTGGAGCCAGTCAGACCCTTGCTACAGAGGTGAATTATTGGTGTACCTAATAAGAATTGTTGGGATTAGGCAATATTTCAAAATAAAACGCTTGTCAGAATTCATATAAAAATCACAATATATCTGTTTAACATAACGTCATTACGATACCAACATAAGCAAAGTGAAACAAATAGCGCCTCTATTAGACAACGAAAACTTTTTACGTTCGTAGACAACTTTAAAAAATATTTTTCAATAAGAATGACCTTGTGGTCAATGATTTTCAAATTATAACACCCCTTTTTGCGTAGGGGCAAACCTGGGGTAAACCCAAGAGGCATAAGTTTCAATTGCATAATAACATAACATCAAGCCCTTTCTTTATGCCCGAAGGGGTAGGCAGAGGTGCACATTATGCCACTGTACAATGTAACACCCACTTTTCACTATTTATGTTATGAGTCCCATGTAATAGGGGGTGAGCCTATTGCCATATACCGGGCACAATCCAGACTCCGTGCTACTACTGAGATTTTTTTTAAACCCAGTAATACTTTGCCCGGCAGTCGCACTTGCGACCACTCGGCCAACGAGGAAGTCTCAATTGCATTTGTCACGTAAATTCGATTTTTTGTGACTAAAGTATGGGTTTGAGACACGTGATAGTGTAACCTCCCGAAATGGTATTCAGAGCATAAGCTGTAACAACTTTTTACCAGTTAGATATGTGATATTAGTGATAGGCCCAGTATATTCATCAAGGAGTAACGAATGGAGTTTCTTGCTCGTTCTTCTCCATTCGAATCTACGTTTTGGAATGAGCACCTAGCTTCACCTAGCTTCACTGACGGACTGACTGACAGACTATTATTTAATTTGTATTTGTTGACGTTTCAAAAGTACCAAACTATGGTTTAATTGAAATAAATGCTTTGACTTTGACTTTGACAAACTTATGTAAGCCACAATTAATTTAAAGTATTGATTTTCATTTTCTAACTCAGGCAAAGCGTAATGAAATATTTTGTAAGAATTATTTAAAAATAAACTGTTCTTCTCTCTATTTCCAGGATGGCTTCACTCCTCTCGCAGTCGCAATGCAACAAGGACACGACCGAGTAGTCGCTGAACTACTGGAATCAGACACGAGGGGCAAGGTTCGATTACCTGCGCTACACATCGCCGCGAAGAAGAATGACGTCAAAGCTGCTACGCTGTTGCTGGAGGTAATATCATGAAGCTGGTTATTTCTTCTTTGGATTCATGTAGAAGCAAATGCTCTGTAGTTAATTTTGAGTCCTGTTGTTATTTATATCTTTATATACCAACACAATTCCGAAGTCGGAACGTATCGGAAAATACCTCTATATCGTGTAATCGGAACGGTCCCGAGACGCTGACAAAAAGAAATTGTTTACAATTGTAATCGTTTTTGTTTTCGTGTTAAACATGCAACATCAGCCTTGAGCTGTTGATTACAAGTATTACATAAAAGAAACATTTAAATCCTTACTATTATATAAAAATAACACTTGTTTTTTACCATCACCTGTCGACGTTTTTCGAGAGCATGTTAGATGTCGTAACGAGTACGCATTCGGGGCTCTGATTGGTTGCTTCATTGGCGCCGGCCAATCAGAGTGCCGAACGCGTACTCGTTTCTGATACTTTAAACGTATAACAACCTCGTACTAAGGCCTCTGTATATACTTCGACTTCGAAAACCTCTTAAAGCCGTCACTTTTAAAAGTGATCTCAAATCCCCTGGCTAAGCGAGCACTCTTGTTTAGAGGAGGCCAGGTCCAGTAGTGAACAGTTATAAGCTGTTGAGGATGAAAATTATATATATTCTGAATTGAATATTTCCAGAACGAACACAACCCAGACGCCTGTTCGAAATCAGGGTTCACGCCCCTGCACATAGCGGCGCACTATGGCAACGTGGGCGTGGCGCGCGCGCTGCTGGCCGCCGGCGCCGACGCGGGCCGCGCCGCCAAGCACAACATCACGCCGCTACACGTCACTAGCAAATGGGGACAACTGGCTATGCTGGATCTGCTTGTGGAGAATGGTAAGGGAATACTTCAATATTCATACATAATTATGGGTTTAAGAACAGACCTTTATACCGTATGGGAACGGCAGAGTGACGTATACTACTGTCACTTACTACCTCTTCTCTTTCTCCTGTTTCTTGCGATTCCTACGATTCCCAACCCGCCTGAAAATCATAGACATTTTTTTCTCTCTTTAATGGCAACTGAGTCTCCAATTTATTCGATCGATTGTACTGCCAGTGTCGGGTTCATGAAGATTTGTAGAGGATGGCCCTAGTCCAATAAGGAACTTTTATAATATGTTGAATTGAACAGAGACCAGTCATAGGTAATTGAAGACATTGCCAACAGCATTATGTCGACTGCCAATCCATGGACAGCTTGCTCTTGTCATAATATCAGAAAAAATACAACAATTTAATAACAAATGTAGGTATATTTAAGTTTTAATTGAAATACCTAATGAGAATTTCACCAGGCGGGTCGGGATTTTGCACGCTTGTAATAATAAATAAACATTTTAAGAGTAGTAATTTTAAATGAAACAATCGCTTAATTACTACTGTTAATTACTTGGTACATTTGTTGGATCTCTCGTCGAAATTGTACCATTTAACGATAATTAAACGTATTTACTAATAGTATTATAAAATCACATAAATCATCCGTTATATTTTCATCGCCGTGACTCAATAATTACATATGTTCTCATTATTTTTTTGTTATCACGCGACTAATTATGTTTCGTATGTGATTGAAATATCATATTGTAGGAATGTTGCTTTAATTGGGCAACATTCACGATATGTTGTCAATCAAACATCAGTTGGCCATCATGCCATCCAGCATACATTTGACAGCTACAGACATTGACGGATACGATAAAGTACAATTTTATACGAATTTCGTTTTATAATTTGGCAATTTGTCTCGCTTGCAACGTAGTTGACGTGAAAAGTGAGGTTAAGAAATTGCCCGCCATTTATTTGATAGGTGCCGCCATCTTTCTTCTTTAATTTTTTTAGTTGAATGTGGTAAATTAAAGTTAGGCAATTTGTATAAAGTTACACTGTCATTTTAACACAAGAAACATTGCTAATTCCTCAACGATGTGTATATGAAAAAAATATTCCCCAACTAACATTACTTGAGCCAGTTAAGTTACTAATGGATGTCATTTCATAATAATTTGCTTATAAAACTCTTCTGATGTTGCGAATGTCCATCGGCGGTGCTAATTGCTTACCATAATACTACTCTATTATCCCTGATCCATAAAAAGTGTTATTATGTTTAAAATCGTCACTATCATAATCAAATCAAACATATTTTTATAATAATATTAATATTTTTATAATAATAGTACTTAATAACAATATATCTGGAGCAATAATAAAATAACAATTATGAAACTATTTACCTACAGGAGCTAACATAGCGGCGGTGACTCGGGACGGCCTGACTCCGCTGCACTGCGCCGCGCGCTCCGGACACAGCAATGTCGTCGCGAGGCTACTCCAACATGGCGCGCCTATTACTAGCAAGACTAAGGTAAGATTCATTCACATAAGAGTATAGAGTGTAGAGAATAGAACCTTGTCTAGATAACACAACATCACGCCTTTTATCCTCGAAGGGGTAGGCAGAGGTGCACATTACGGCACTTAATGCCACTGTACAATGTAAAACCCAATTTTCATTATTTATGTTACAAGTCCCATATAATAGGGGATGAGCCTATTGCCATATACCGGGTACATTGCCAGACTCTGTGCTACTACTGAAACTTTTTTAAACCCAGAAATTCTGTGCCCGACCCGGGAATCGAATCCGAGAACCCTTGGCCGGCAGTCGCACTTACGACCACTTGGCCAACGAGGCAGTCTAAAATTCGAGATTTAAAATCAGTTAAGGGAACGGATCTAGGCTGACAGACAATGATCATTTACTGCATTCTTAATGCAAATATATTTATAATCAAGTTGTCAAGAGAACAAAATCAAACCCGCCTTAAACTTGTCATGCCTAAACAAATCAATATAAACCTTAACGCATCTAGCACTAAAGTTCAATTTACCTTTTTCCTTTACAGAACGGTTTGACCCCTCTCCACATGTCCGTACAAGGCGAACACGTGGAGACGGCCAAAGTTTTACTAGCAGAGGGCGCTCCCATCGATGACGTCACTGTTGACTATTTGACAGCTTTACATGTAGCTGCTCATTGTGGACATGTTAAGGTAATTTGAGCCTAATTACTATGAGTGTTGCGTCTAAATCTAAATGAGTCTCTCCGATAATTTTGTAAGTATGGTGTGGCTACGTTAATCTGAAGTGGATCTTAAATACACAGAAATACATTCGAGTTTCGAATGGCCATAATGATAATGAGACAAAGACCAAAATTGTACAAGAAATTTATCAATTTTACATTGCATTTAATTTAAATGTGACGTTTATTTAATTGTATTTACGAAGACAACTATCAAACTAATATCAACTCTATCACTAACACCTTAAGATTCATTTTACATTGCTAAATATTTTTTTTTACAGGTGGCAAAGCTACTTCTAGACAGAAATGCGGACGCGAATGCTCGGGCATTGAACGGGTTTACTCCATTACACATCGCCTGCAAGAAAAATAGGCTCAAAGTCGTCGAGTTACTGCTCAAATATGGCGCTAGTGAGTTTAATTTTCTTTTTACTATTATTGTACAGACGCTAGCAAACCAACCTACTCCCAGTCTGTCAATTTCTGAAATTGGATTTTAGACTTTATTCAAAAATAATAAAGTTGTCAGTTGAACAAAGTACTGGATTGACCTATGGTCGAAGGAACGCATGTACGATTGATCGGTCATTATTGCTTACTGGTTTAGAATTGTGCACAGTATATTAATATTATGAGCTTGACACCTATGAAAAGGATTGGCCACTGAAAACTTTAAGAAGAGACGAGTGGAAGGATGGTAGGGAGGCCTTTGCCATGCAGTGAGACGACCATGGTTGAAAATAAAAATAAATAAAATAATTATAGATCCATTTTATGAGGAATAAAAAATACCTTTCATCTTATTTTTCCTATTAATAATTTTTATCAAACTCTACCAAACCACTTATCTCTTTCCAGGTAAATCAGCAACGACAGAGTCAGGGTTGACCCCCCTCCACGTGGCGTCGTTCATGGGCTGCATGAACATAGCGCTCGTCCTCATCGGCGCGGGCGCCCCGGCCGACGCCGCCACCGCGCGCGGCGAGACTCCTCTACACCTCGCGGCCAGGGCGCACCAAACCGATCTCGTCAGGGTCCTGCTTAGGAATAATGCTAAGGTGAGAATGTTCTGCAACTTCCATTCTTTAAAGTTCAGAATTAAACTTCGTTGTAGTTCCCAGAACAATAAAATCAATCAAGGCAATTATTAAAAACTATATATGAGAACTACTATAAGAAAAGATTTTTACTATATTATCGTTCTTGATTGTTCTTGATATGTAGGTAACAAAATTTTAGTGTTGTGAATAGTAAATAGAAAAAAACTTTTATGGTCTAAAACAAAGATAAGACTTATTAAGATCAGAAGTATTATGTCCAAGGTCATAGAGTTCCACAGAACATCTGGTCCTTCAAGTCGGATTAACCGAAAATCAACCTGCATTTTTTCGATCCGCATCTAATCAAGACCTTTCAATTAGAACCTTCCAAATATAAATAGCATCCTCTTTAAAATAAATGTATCTGTTCCAGGTGGACGCCCGAGCTCGTGAAGAACAGACTCCCTTGCACGTGGCAGCCCGACTGGGCCACGCCGACATAGCCGCGCTACTGGTGCAACATGGCGCCGACGTCGGGGCTACCACCAAGGACAAGTACACGCCGCTACATATTGCAGCCAAAGAAGGTAATTAGCGTAATTCTTTTTTTAACCAAAATAGATAATTAAAACTATACTTATAAACTCTTTCACATACGAAATGTCTCATACTGATTCACCTGAAGCTTAGTACATCTCATCTTCAGTCTACAACTGTTCCACGTCTTCAAAAGAAGCCATTTTCACCCACAGAAGGAAAGAGCACAAATAACCACGTTTGCATAAGGTGAATTTACATTTTTGAAAGCACATCAATGCGCACTAACAAAAAGAAATCAATCATACTGGACATAAAAAGCCCTCTGTCTAACCACACAGGCAAAGAAGAAGTAGCATCGATCCTCCTGGAGCACGGCGCAGCGATAGAAGCGGAGACCCGCAAGGGCTTCACCCCGCTGCACCTGGCCGCCAAGTACGGCGACACCGGCGTGGCGCGCCTGCTGCTGGCGCAGGCCGCCGCGCCCGCCGCGCCCGGCCGCTCCCACATCACGCCGCTGCACATGGCCACCTACTACGGACACCCCGACATCGCGCTCTTGTTGCTGGATAAAGGTTACTTTTCATAATTAATAGATCGACGTATTGCACTTTCTTCAAGTATAGTTTTTAGAAAATAATATTCAATGCAATTCATTTATTTACATGCCAAAAAGTGGATAAAGCTAATATACATTTTTATGGACTACATAAGGGCACAGCAATATTGGAGCTTCTTCAAACTAGTATTTGTCCAACACAGGCATTCGATAAACATTATGTCGCATAGTTATGGCGTCTGCACGGCGCATACGTTTATCGAACGCCTACTCTTATTAGTCAAGTCAATGCTAAAATTTTTCTTTAGATTGCTTTTTGTTTGGGACAGTTTGTGCTAGAAATAGTATTAATCCTAACACCACTTCATTAAACTCAAATCTAACTAAGTCATTGTTGAATATAGACTGAGAAGAATTTTATACTTTCATAGTATAATCATATCCATATGTAGTTATTTCAGGTCATCAATACTTTTAACTTACTAAATTTTGGTTGAGTATTATGATTCAGCAATTAATTAAATAATTATGTATAATATAGTTTAATAGTAAGCTCTAAGACAGGACAGTTTATCAGACTACCTTGAATATAAGTACCTAATCATGGGTATGTCTTGTTGATTATCACCATAGGAATAGTTTAATTTATATACCGATTTATATTTGAATGTGTGATGTAGAAGCTAGTTAGTAAGCTAGAGTGTGTTTGTAGGAGCGTCTCCACATTCTCTGGCGAAGAACGGACACTCCGCTCTACACATCGCCTGCCGACACAACCACCCAGATATCGCCTTCGCGTTACTTGAACATGGTGAGTAGATATTTTGCCTATAATTATTTAGAAACTAAGAAAAAGACAGCTTATAATTTAAAAACTAAGGATTAAAGTAAAGAATAAATAAAGGTTATAATAATGATAAACAAGATAAGTTATCAGGCTTGGTTTGTCATCATAATGTCAGCCATAAAACGTTTATTGTTAGATATCCTCAATGATAAACATATTATAGCAGTCCTTCAATGATAAACATTATTATAGCATCTAAATTGTAAAAGTTTACTACTTGTAGATGTTATGAGACGATGAGTATAAGTACGGTTCTTATAACTATATATATTATTATATGACTATGTATATTATTTACTAATTTGTAATATATATGTATAGCTATATTATTTAATATTTACTTCTTTTCTCTCTCTCTCTCTCTCTCTGCTGTTAGTTTATTCTCCGTACCTTATTTTTCGCGATTTTCTACTTAAACCCTAAGGTTGACTGGTAGAAAATGCTATATGGCATTAAGTTCGCCTTATGTGCCATAATAAAATTTTGTACAAAACAGAATAAATATATAAATAAATATGAAACCAAGTTTGGAACAACCAAACATTTTTCTTCACATACTTTTTCTTAAATAAAATACTGATAGTAACCTGTTTCTCTTGTAGACGCGGATCCCAGCGTGAAGTCGAAGGCAGGTTTCACTCCACTGCATATGGCGGCACAGGAAGGACACGAGGATTGCGTCGAGATGCTCATCGAACGAGGGGCTGATGTCAATGTACCCGCTAATAATGGTAGGAACATTTTTTTAGTAAGTTACGACTATACAACTTGGCTTGCAAAACAGTGTTTTAAATTTCGAAATACCGAAGTCAAGCCGTTAGCGTAAACTTTAATCTTAATAATTATATTTTACTATCTACTTAATTATGATCTACCTTTCGTTTGAAAAAGTCCACGCACATTGCATCTGCAACTCTTTAGAAATCTCTATAGACAGTGTTTAAAAAAATATCTTTATATCCCACGTAAAAGTCAACACTGGACAATCGAAATTGTATTTAAACATAACATCATGGCACCACCCCCAAAGGGGTAGACAGAGGTGCACATTACGGCACCTAAAGCGATTATACAATGTAAAACCCACTTTTCACTATTTATGTTATGAGTCCCATGTAAATGGTGAGCCTATTGGCATATACCGGGCACAATTCCAAACTCCGTGCTACTGAAATAACACGGGTCGTATAATACAAAACTAACTCCCTCGCCAGGTTTAACACCAGTCCACCTAGCAGCTTCCGAAGGTCGTACGGGCGTGCTGAAGGCGCTGATGTCTGCGGGCGGACAGGTCAACGCCCGCACCAGGGACGGGTACACGCCGCTGCACGCCGCCGCGCACCACGGACACCACGCCGCCGCCAAGACTCTGCTGGCCGCCAACGCTGATGTCACTGCTAGGGCTGCGCATGGGTATGTTCTACTTTATATTATGTTTAGTTTTTGTTTAGTCCTTTCCTTTCTAGTCCTTTCCATCATCGTACCACAACATAATCGGCGAAGCGTCACAAATTTATGGTATATGTCCCACCCGCACGAACGAATCGCTTCGTGTCAAGCTTCTTTGTACTGCTAAAACTGGAATTCCTTGCTAGAGTCTGTATTTCCTGAAGGGGGGGTTTCCTGGGTGTCTTCAAGGCCCGAGTGAATAGGTTGCTTAAGGGACGACGTGCTCCATCGTAGACCGCATCATCGCTTACCACCAGGCGAGATAAAGGTCAAAAGTCGGCCTATCAAATATAAAAAAGTTTGTGTTTGATAAAGATGTATTTTTTATGTAACAACTTTGGTGAAATCAAATCAAAATCATTTGCATAAAACATAGTAGGTATCAAGATTTTGAATAAAATGTTTGTGTACAGCATGTTTTGCCGTGGAACATGGCGCGCTAAAGTATTATTAAATAAAATAAATTAAAATGAATGAATCATTGTACATACATTATAATCAAATTAGTATTAAATAAATTAAAATGTACTAAAATGTCAAGTCAATCATACTAATTTCATTAAATTAACGTTTTTAACATTATTTTAGTGAAATATTCGATTAAATATTGGCACCCTGCTCATTGGGGCCCCAGTGTGACTTGAACCTAGTAGGTAGAAATGTTCTTTAGCCGGGAGCCGTATTTTTAAATAATTGGTATGTATAAATACTGCAATTGATACGGTACAGTAGCTGCAGGAACTGTACCTAGAACAATGGATTGTACTAAGAGTGCTGAAAGTATACAATATTTAGTTCTCATAACACGAACTCTTAGGTTTTCTTGTTTCTGATATATAGGAAAATATGTAAAACATCTAACATATGAATGTTTCCAGGTTCACTCCACTGCACCAGGCGGCACAGCAAGGCCACACGCTCATCATACAGTTACTGCTCAAACAGAATGCTGACCCCAACGCTCTCTCTGCTGTAAGTGGCTTTATCAAGTACTATAGTTTACCCCCATTTTAGGTCACGACTTTCTCCATACGCCGAACTATTTTTATTCAAAGTTTTAAGAAGATCGGTTGAACTAAAGCTTGATGAGGTTAAAAACTCACTTTCGCATTTAGAATATTATATTTGGGAAGATAGATGGCACCACACGTCTAATAAGTGTGCGAGAGCCATGCTTCGGTACGAATAGGCCGGCTCGACCGGAGTGATACCACGGCCGAGGAGAAAGCCGACGTGAAGCAACGCCTGCCTCTCTCCAACTTAAGATTGGATGATATTGACTCGACCCCTTTCCCCTCTGAAACATCTTATGTAATTTATGGACACCACCTTACCGGCTTATCCCATAGGAAAAATACAAATTAAAAAGATTCCTGTAATTCTCACAGGTGATATACAGTGAGTCGGTTCGAGTTCCAGTAATTATAAACCTACTCGTATCAGATATTCCTTCACGTAAGATGTTTTCTAATATAATAAGAACAAAGTTAATAAAAGTAATTGATATTAAAGTACTTACATATTAACTACTTCTTGGTTCATAAAATCTGTGACAGCTTACAATTATTATTCATTGAATAATAAATATTTTTATACGTAAGTCAATGAGCAGCAATAAATAAACGTGTACGTCAGTCCACTTAATTTACCAGTGTATGTAGTATCGGGAAAAACACTGATTGCAAATCAATTTACATGATTTATAAGTAGCTACTCATTGTATGCATTGTCTACTTGCAATATTATAAGTTCGTAGTAAGTATGAAACGTATGAGAATTTAGACAGATTTTCATATAGGTAATTCTGTCTTATTTTTAATTTCATAAAATGTAGCGTTTCTATTTAACTTAATCTCATTTCGATCTATGACCGGATGAGATAAAAATTTATTGACAGCAAAATAATTATATTTTAATTTTTTTAACCCTTCCATATTTTAGACATTTTTGTGTTAAAAATTGTCACTATTGTGAGGCAAATTAATTGTTCACGTAACTTTTTGGTGGGGATCCCCGATGTGTTTCGCGTATGCTGCTCTTGATTATGGACCCCCATTGTGGCTTGAAACCAGTCGAGCAACCTCATCGAACAGTCACATATAAGAATGTAGGTCGTATAACCTAAATCATTGTTCGTTGCTGTCTGATTTAAATTAAAAACGTGCAATTATTCTTTTGTATAGAATGGACAAACGGCTTGTGCTATAGCCGACCGTTTGGGCTACATTAGCGCCGTAGAAGCATTGCGGCCTGTCACAGAAAACACACTCAGCCAAGCTGTTGGAGATACCGGTAAGTTTTTTTCTTATTTATTTACTATACACTCGCGACTCCGCCTGCAAATCATAAAAAAATGATGCACCTACTATATATTCCTAAAGTATAAATACTATCTATTGATGAAAACCACAGAAAAAGGAAAAATTGAAGTCGTAAGTATGCACGCGTAGTCCTGGCATTGCAGACTACTATAAGCGTTTACCGCTACACGTTGGTACGCAACGTGTAGCGGGTTCGATTCCCGCACGGACCCACAAATTGTTGTTTCTGGTGATGATGCTGATGTGTATGTGAACTTGTATGTTTGTAAACACACCCACGACACAGGAGAAAATCCTAGTGTGGGACTATGTTAAAAAAAATTAAGTAAAAAGTTTTCAAGCAACAGAAACAACAAAATTACCAATTACGATTGCGTTTGGGTTCTTTTCAGCGAGATATAAAACAATTGTTACTTCATCGTGTATTTAATGTGTGTACTAAATGTAAACTGATTATTACTCTTTGTACTGCGATTACAATCAGCGGGCTTAGTACAAGTTTGTCTTAGGTTTAAAGTAATCGAAACGGGTACGCATTCGGCGCATATAGAGGCGGAATTGTTCAGTAAAAATGTAACCATTTTCTGAATTTACTTGGTAGCACGTTCATTAGAACGATAAATGGTTATTATCTTTGTTCCATGCGTGTTTCACTTTTATTTATTTTAGAAATATATTGGTGAAATGGATATAAAAGCGTAGGTATTTCCGAGAAAAAATCGGACAATATTTCAGCAAAAATGATATTCATATAAATAGTATCATTAAGAAATATACAAATTAAAGTCCTGAGCCTCGATTAATTATTAACATGAACTTTCTAATTAACATCTGCATCTTTTGATCCAAAAACGTGCGCCCGCGCACTGCGCAAACGCAGCTGAACATAACGATATCCGTAAAAATTTGCGTTTAAACCGGACTTGGATGGTTGCCAATTAGGTGCAACCGACGGACTGCATAAATATTTGTATTAAGTTTTACTGTATTGATGTTAAATATTAATATTTTGGTACATTAATATTTTATGATGATATTTACTGGGATATAAACTAATATTGTTTTTTATGGTTTGGTTAGTAAAAAGTTTCTGCACTTACCTAATCATTTTGGTATTGTAAACACAAAGAAGTCCTTTAATATATGAGTAAGAAGCCGTATATTTCTCGGCAAGTTAAATAAACATTGTCTTACACTAACTTCAAAGAGTGACTGCCCCCGCGCCACCTTGTACAAATAAGGAAATGTGTAATCTCAAACTATAATCTATCCTACTACCTCTGTACCTTTTATCTAGATCTTTTCAGTAGTTTTAGGTATTTGAAAGCACGGTTGGCGCGGTGGTTTGGCAATTGGCAGCCGCGCAACGTGTCGCGGGTTCGATTCCCGCACCGAATAACTTTGTGTGATCCACAGATTGTTGTTCCGGGCCTGGGTGCCATTTGTATGTAAACGTGTAATGACACAGGAAAAAATTCTAGTGTGTTCATCGTATCGTATTACAAACTGAACTAAAGTTATCGTTCCGAAAATGCACGTGGCGACATCTATCCTATATCATATTAAATTCTTTAATGAAGGACAAATGTACAAAACAAAAATAAGTTTTAGTTTACAAAATATAATGTCGAATACTTAAAACTTGACACTGCAACCTGTTTCTCCGAATTACGTCATTAATATACGTTTGCGGATCATTCAGTGAGGTAAGCAGAATTCTGTCATCGTGATATTTTTAATACTTATTATGGGTAATAATCGTTATGTGATATAACACCTGCCGTTCTTAGAAAAGGTTGTCAGAAGCGTTAGTACGTATTGTCTTTTCGTATATCATGACGTTTCGTTTTTTTTTAAATGAGCAGGCAAAGGTGTACGATTTGCATACATGTAATAGGTTGGTTATTGAAACAAATTACTTATGTTGTTGCTCTGTAAAAGAAAGTTTATTCATAAATACAACACAACACATGAAATGGTTTTGCAAATACACAGCTCACTTAGGTAATTAGAATTAGATAAACATTATTGTCTACTAACCTGTAAAAGAAACAACATTAAGAGCTATTGCTTCAAACAATCCTTTGTATACTTATTTTAAAATAATTTCCACAAATATCTTTCGTGCTTATTCAAAAATCTCGAGACGAAACAAAACCATTGTATTTGACATAGTGGAATAAAGCTGTCACCACAGATTATACTGACGTATAAAGTCTAAACCAAAATACGCGGGAAATTTAAATTAAATGAAGGGCTAACTTAGCTTCTTCATTTACATACATATAAAGCCCACTTTTCACTCATTTGCTTTAATTTCTCATAAGTAATTCTACATAATAACCTATAAACTTATCTCCTCTCGAATATCAAACTCGGGAACTTGCAATCAACAGCCATTTTTGTCACCTCCCTTTTTGATCGCATACAATTAATTCAAAATGTTTTTGCAAACACAAATCGTTTGATGTTGTATCCTTTGACTTTCGCAAATTGAAATACATACTAACAGCTGTGTCTGTATATGACAAACAGGATAAAAATACTTGAAACAAATATTATCGATATGTCTGTACCTATTGAACTTTTTCGTGTAAATAAAGTCAAATAAAGATCATATCAAAATGCTTTTGAAACTTATACATATATACATAACTTCACGCCTGACTCCCATGGGGTAGAATACTACTACTCTCCCATGGGGTACTCAATTGGCGTTCCAATTACTACGATTCCTACATGCCTCTTTAGCTTCATCAACAGTCATCAATCTTTTCATGCATGCTCATGCGCATCATAAAGGTTAAAAAACCTTCGACTTTGAAACTAATAATCCCCTTAAAACTAATAGTTCGTCTTCTCCTATTAGTCCTACTTTCGCCTTAGACATCCTATATCATGATCTTTGTTATCCTAATTCTGCCGTAGAAACCATTTATTATGCACTCAAAATAATAGAAGAAACGGTTTTTTTTTATTAATGCCATACTTTTATCAATATAAGTATTTAATTAATACATTCGTGATTGTGTTGTCCTTCACCTATTTAATAGGAAGCTATCATTCAATGATAAGTCACGTTTTTAAGGTGCACTTAGTCATTGTACTAAACGTGTGCACAGACTGGCAATCATAATTATCAATAGAAACAGCTGTGTTTAATTTTCTATGAACAGTGAATATAATTTTCTGAGTGAATATTATAAACTCTGCCATGTGAGCAAGTTTATATTTGTTTATTGCTTACAAATTTATAATATACATTTATAATATACATGACGGCGGGTAGTCTACGCGGAAGTCGCGCTTAAAGTGTCTTAATTAAAATAAATATTAATATTATTAAATATTACAGTAGATAATTAATGAACATCATTTTTTAAAATTAAATACCTGCTAGTTGAGTGTATTTCCCATCTTACATTCCTGTAAATTACACCACTGCTACCATAAGGAAATAATTGGGACAGTATCATGGCATCAGCGGAAGGACCAATTGCTGCATTGACAAGGGAGTTCAGTGAGAGGATGGCAAAATTTGAGGCTGAATATTTAAATAAAACACCATACACTGCAGCACCCGATGGCACACCAAGTCTGGCACCGGATTACTTGGAGTTTAAAAAATTTATTTTTGACACTCTTGAGTGCCTTCAACAGCAGATGGAGACGTATGGAAGGGAGATAGATGCTCAGGAGATGAGAAGCCGCAGAAAAATTCTTCTCGTCCATGGGGTTCCAGAGCAGGTGAAGGAGGATACGCAACTGGTGGTAACGGAAGTCATCCAGAATAGGCTGGATTTGAAAACTTTCACTGCCTCCTCTATAAGCAGGTGTCACCGGGTTGGCAGCCGAGCCAGGAATAGTGGTCACCGTCCAATACTGCTGAAAGTTAGAGATGTCAACATTAGAGACACAGTCTGGCACTCCAAAACTAAGCTTAAGGGCTCAGGTATTACCTTGTCCGAGTTCTTGACAAAGACACGACATCAGGTGTTTATGGCTGCACGGGAAAAATTTGGCGTGGCTAACTGCTGGACAGAGCGGGGCTATATATTTGTTCTCGGACCAAATGGTAAAAAGCACCGCATCGTGAGCCACCGCGAGCTGAGTGCGATCGGTGAACCAGCGTCAACCTCCGTGCCATGTCCTGCACCAGCGTCCGAGCGGTGTCCTGCGCCAGCCTCCAGCCGATCTCCTGCAGCAGTGGCCTCGAAGGCCTCCTCTGCGGGACCACGGCGTGCACGTGCGGCAATTAGGAAATGATTCTAGTGATAAGTACTGCGATGTCTGGACAACAAGTCCATTTACTTCGTTCACTTTCCTT